GCAGGCAGTTGGAGGATGTCATTACCACCCGTCCATTATCAGTATTGCAGTGTAGTGCTGGCTCTCAGCGCTCTGAGCTGGGAGAGGCATCGGGTTACTGGTCCTCATTGTCACACTCGCCGTGGAAATGTGCAGGATTAGGGACTGCTGCCGGCCCAGGAGTCAGGATACACATACACAGATACACACACACAGATACACACAAGGTCTGGGGCTCTACAAACCACACATAAGAAGTTTAAGGTTGGATTTGACCCAGGCTTTGGCATCAGCTTTGGCGCAGGATGATAAAATGTAAATATTTGTCTGCTACATTTCACTATACACACATGCAAATGTATGCAAAGTAGTGATCAGTAAGAGTAATCGAGAACTCCGAAGAGCCACCAATGATCACTTATGAAAACATATTCATTCATTCATTTTCTTTTTGGCTTAGTCGCTTAATTAATGTGGGATCACCACAGCGGAATGAACCGCCAACTTATCCAGCATGTGTTTTACGCAGCGGATGCCCTTACAGCTGCAACCCATCACTAAGAAACACCCAAACACACACACACACACACACACACACACACACACACACACACACACACACACACTCACAATGGACAATTTAGCTCACCCAATGCAGCTATAGCACGTCTTTGGACTTGTGGGGGAAACCAGAGCACCCAAAGGAAACCCACGCAAACTCCACACAGAAATGCCAACTGACCCAGCCGAGGCTTGAACCAGCGACCAGCACTACCCACTGCGCCACCAGGCTGCCTCATACAAACATATTTTAAAATAATTTCTTGTTTTTAATATTGTGATTGAATAAAGCTTCTGCTGGCATCAAATTTTCTTTTAATTGCTAAACTTTTATCAAGACATACGATATTATCACAACATTGACTTTAGCTGCAAAAAAGAATACTTTAATGGTTATTATAACAAAAAAAACTTTGTGAATTGTTTTATTGTATATACACATTCAGAGAACACTAATATTTCAAACTAAATTGCAAAAGCATTATAAAGTACAATCGGTAATACTTAACAACAGAATTTTATTGATTATAAATTTCAATTATTAGAATGAACAAGACTTGTAATCAAATCATGACTACAAGTTTAACACATTAGTGGGCATTAACTAAGAAATTTACATCATCTAAAATTATAAAAAGCTTTAAAATTTTCAATAGGACTTTAGTTACATTAAAAAATGTCAACTATTTGTGCGTTATTCAGGGTTTCTGCAGGTCTCACGAAGTTAAAGTTAAGATTTTTAATTCCTTTTTAAGACCATTATGAATGAAATTTTAGAGTTGTATAAGGCTAAATGCTTAAAACTTTATTTGAATATCCTATTTGAAAAAAAAAAGTCACTTACCCTATCAAAAATTATCATAATTTAAAACATTTAATAATACAATAATAATAATTTAACAATAAAACTAAATCTACGTCAGGCCAGTATCTTCAGCATTAAATAAATGGAGAACTTTTAAACAAATGTTACTGTAAGGAAAGTAATTAAATGCTATTTTTAAATGTCGGTGCCAGTGGTGTAGTGGTTAGTGCGTCGACACATGCACTCCGGTGCTTGCGGCGACCTGAGTTTGATTCCGCCTTGCGGTCTTATGCCACTCCTTCCCCTCTCTCTCTGCTCCCCATGCTTTCCTGTCAATTCTCTACTGTCCTATCACAATAAAAATGAAAACCCCTAAAAAAAAAAATAATAATAAAAAAAGCTATTTAAAAAAATAAAAAATTGTTGGTGATTTTATGGATGTTAAAGGCAAAATTAAGACCTGTAAAAGACAATTTAAAGACCTACAACACAATATTTCAGCATTTAGCAATTAAGGCCTAAAATTTAGCTTTTGAGATTTAAGACATTTTAAGACATGTTAAGACCTCGCGGATACCCTAGTTATTGCACAGTTGTTAATAAATCATAGCCTTATAAATATACACACAACATTTTAAACCAATATTTCAGCATGAAATAGGTCAGATAAATCTGTTAATGTTTAAACTACACTAAAAAAGACTTGTGTTGCTTGGTCAAACTACTTATTTAAAATGTGTTGAAACAACACAATTCTTAATTTTTTTGGCAAAACTTAAATGTTTTACGCTCAATCCATTTAAATTAGTAAAAACAACTATGTTAACTTAATTTGTGTAAGGACAACCTAAAGAATAGTGTGAAACCCTGCATTTTTTTAGAGTGTGTTAAGCTAATTAAGCCTTCAATCCTCTGGCACTGCTATGAACACCACTGCAAGTACAAATTTTAGTTAAAATTTAGATTAAAATCAACAGTGAGGAAAAGCCAGATTCATTACAGTAATTATGTTAATATTAGTTAAAAATAAAACTAAATTCGATTAGTTATTAACTCCATTTATTAAAATAATTATGATTTGTAATCAAACCCCGGCTACAATTTTAATGCATTATTAGGAGATTACTAATATCTAAAATGATTAAAAGCTTTGTCGTTTTTAACAAATCATAGCCCTATGAATTCATTCATTCATTCATTTTCTTTCGGCTTACTCCTTTTATTCATCAGGAGTCGCCAAAGCGGAATAAAACGGCAACTTATCCAGCACGTTTTACACAGCGGATACCCTTCCAGCTGCAACCCAGTACTGGAAAACATCCATACACACTCATACACAGACATACACTACGGCCAATTTAGTTTATTCGATTCACCTATCCTGCATGTCTTTGCACTGTGGGGAAAACCGGAGCACCAGGAGGAAACCCACGCACACAAGGGGAGAGCATGCAAACTCCACACAGAAATGCCAACTGGCCCAGCCAGGGCTTGAACCAGCAAACTTCTTGCTGGGAGGCAAGAGTGCTAACCACTGAGCCACTGTGTCACCCTAGCCCTATGAATATTCAGAACATCTTCAATCAATATTTCAGCATGAAGTAGGCCAGATGAATATGCTAATGTTTAGACTATTAAGCTAACCAATAACAAAAAAGTTTCCAATCATCTGCCGCTGCTATGAACACCACTGCAAAAACAATAAGAATTCTTAAAGCACCCTAAAAGTAAATTTTCACAGTATTTTGAAGAGCATTCATCGATATTGAATTATTAATATTGCATACGTGCATTATCAGAATATATTGAACATCGCCCTTACATCTAGATTAAATGAGTCGAAATGTATGAATTCTGGGTGGTGTGGCTTGAAATTCAAGGCATGTGTTTTATATAGCAAACACTGACATTCACCATGTGGAAAATATTGAACGGGAAATAAGTCAACGATATCTCTGTGAATGTGCAACATCTGTCGCTCTTACGCCTCGAGTTCAGCATGATGGACACAAGGCAGAAATGTACATATTTTTGACCTTTCTTTAGACTCTGAGAGCTACTCTTGCTTGTAGTATGAGAAAATCTCCCGGCATTGTGCTGATGCTTACAACATTACTATAGCAACTGAAGTAGATACAACGGATATTGACTGCACTGTTTGAACAAACAGATCAGATTTAATTACTTGCTGAATAGCAGTGCAGGCAATCAGTTCTACAGATCGGATCTGAAAAACAGTGCATGCAAACAAAGCCAGAGTCTATACTGACACTCACTAGCCACTTTATTAGGTACACATTGCTATTACCTGGTTGGTTACCCCCTTTTTGCCAAGTGGTCCTTACATTACAGCATTATACAGTTGATGCAGATTTGTTGGCAGCACATCCAAATCTTCCATTCCACTACATGCCAAAGCGCTCTAATGGATTAAGATCTGGTGACTGTGAAGTCATGTTCAAGAAACCAGTTTGAGATGTGTCACGGTGCATTATCCTTTTGAAAGTACACTATGGTCATGGCTAAAAGCAATGCTATTGCTTAATTGGTAGTAAGGGAGCCAATGTCTGCCAAGAAAATCTCCCCCACACCATTACACTACCAGTGCGAACACTGATAAAAGGAGGATGTAAAGTGGATACACACTTTCAGGTTGTTTACACCACATTCTGACCCTATAATTTAAAAGCAGTAATTGAGACTCATGAGATCAAGCAACCCTTTTCCAGTCTTCTATTGTCAAATTTTTTGAGCTCAGGTAATTATAGCCAATTATAGTATTGCTGTTTTAAGCTGACAAGAGTGGCAGTTGTAAGCTCTTCTGCTGCTGTAGCTCATATGCTTTAAGGTTTGTTGTGTTTTCAGAGATGCTCCTCTGCACCTTGGTTGTAAGTGGTTATTTGCTTTCATTTTGATTTTCGATCAGCTTGACCGGTCTGTCCATACTCCTATGACCTCTGACATTAAGATGGCTGTGTGTGAAAATCCCAGATCAACAATTTCTGAAATTCGCAGACTAGCACACCTTAAAGGAATAGTTCACCCAAAAATGAAAATTCTGTCATCATTTACATGCTTTATCTGTTCACATCTGTTTGACTTCTGTTGAACAAAAAATAACATATCCTGAAGAAGGCTTAAACAATGACTTCCAGTGGGAACAATAAATACTATGGAAGTCAATGCTTACAGGTTATCAGCGTTCTTCAAAATCTTCTTTAGTGTTCAACAAAAGAAGAAACTCAGGTTTGAAGGAGAGTAAATTGTTTTTTTTTAGAGTAGAACTGACAGTAAACTTTTATTTTTGGGTAAATGATCCCTTTAAATCATATTGTTTCCCCATTCTGATGCTCAGTCTGAACCTTCAACAGATTATACAGACTTTATATATAGCTAAACTATATATAGCTTTATATATGCATATAGTTATATGCATGACCGAGCAGTTAAACAGGCAAATGTAATAAATTGGCTGATGAGTATATGTAGGCCCTTAAACCCAGGTCTGGAACCACTTGAGGGAGAGTAAATAGTTTTTTAGACTAGAATGCAGTGTAAATTTTCATTTAAGGGTAAATTATAACTTTAAATCATCCTTCCCATTCGCCTGTTTTTACATTCCATGATGTTTTGATGTGCTAATTAAGGAACATACCTCCAGCCAGCTGAGAGTCCCACTGAGCTTCCTGATGGTCCATGCTGACTCTACCTGCAAATCACAACAGTGTCAGTGATAAAAAATTAAAAAAAAAAAAAACTATTGTGTTTTATTTGACCCTATGTACTTTTTCATTGGTCACACTTTATTTTGATGGTCCGTTTGTTGAATTTTAGTTGCATTGCAAAACATTCCCATTACATTTTAAGTAGACTGTTGGGGTTAGTGTAAGTTGACATGTACTTGCAAGGTTTCTTATAGCCAGTTAAATGTGTTTTAAAGGAGCAGTATAAGCAGATATTAAGCAAACATTCTACTGATACTCAAATGGACCATCAGAATAAAGTGTTACCTTTTAATTTAGTCAATCGGGTTAAAAAAAATTACACTGACAGGAAACGACACTGGATTAAAAACTGTAGTCAATCACACAAGCACCATGCTTCAGTGATCCCTAGCGCTAACCAGTAAGCCACAGCTCCATAGCTGAATGTATCACTTTAGACAAGAGAATGTTTTAAGAAGGTCTGATATGTTTTCTAGCTATTTTTATTGAATCAAAGCCCAGATTTCCAGTGCACTTCTAACATATGTCGAAAGTTTGGGAGCCGATCCAACAGACCCCTTCACAACCGACGCCCTTGCAACATTTGATCACTTCAGATTCAGAAGCCGCGTTTTAAAACAGAACAACGGTTTTCATATTTTCCATACAATTACAGCCATGTGCATCACACACCAAAAAGATTCTTGCGACTGTCTGGAAAACATTACAGGAATGTATTAACTTCCTGGAGCTTTGTTGCATGTGAAAATGCCAACTTGGGCACGCCAAACCCACTTACTCGCAGAGAGATGTCTGTGGCATTCAAAGGTGCACTTACATTGTGCTCTCCCTCTGTAGTGCGCACATCATAGACGTACGCCAAGATGATGTCCACCAAACCCAACCAGACATGAAAGCGCGCTTTCTTATCCAGCAAGTACGAGCGGTTTGTGAATCTCCTCATCTGCTCCCTTTCCTCTTCTGTGAAAGTCATAGCTGGAGGTAAAGAGACAGAGAAAGAGAGACATTCATTGTTGTTCATCAAGTTATCTCAGGGAGATACAGTCAAAGCCGATATCTGACAAATTCACCCTGAAAAACAAGTTTAATGGCAGTGCTCCAGCAAGGGAATGATGGATGCCTCTGCTCCTCTGAGAGATTTAAGAAACAAAAGCATGTTCCCCACAATTATTTTTAAATCAGAGTCGGAGGCGAGGCTTTTGAAGCATAGTAAAGTTACTGCACGGGAAGAGCTTAGTTACAGAGCTTGATTGATGCCCTAAACTGACTTGATACTGCACCAGGGAGGAAGGAGTTGAAGGCAGGGCAGCGAGAGAGAGGAAGAAAAGGGCAAGTCAGCACTTTAGTAGCAGCTGAAAGTGATCCCCTGCTTGGCTGCAGCCCTGCCCCTGATAGAGGCCCTCGTGTGCATGCTTGCATGTCCATACACACACACACACACAGACTTAAAGCTAGTGCTGGCAGAGGTCGACTTCTGGCTCTGTTGGGAGCTGCTGAATTCCAGCGACATGACGACTAAACAGCTCCACCATTTTCCTCCTCTACCTGATTTACCCTCTAACACAGCTGCCTTTGCCTGGCAGGAAACACAGACTCTTGGGAGACCAAAACCAGGAGCTCAGGAGGGAGTTCAGCTCCACCCCTGCTCTAGTCTTCTCTTTATATTACACCATGTCTGTCTGTAAATACTCACTGGCAGCTTTGTGTGTGTGTGTGTGTGTGTGTGTGTGTGTGTGTGTGTGTGTGTGTGTGTGTGTGTGTGTGTGTGTATGTGTGTGTGTGTGTGTATGTGTGTATGTGTGTGTGTGTGTGTAACTGAACTCTTAACACTGCACAAATCACCTTCATTCCAAACGTGTAAGATCATGCTGCTCTATTCAAAACATTACAAGTAAAAGGTGACCAGGGGTTGTGAAAATCCATGCCAAAGAAAACACCACAGGTGGATAGATGTAGCTAAAAATAAATAAAATAAGCCTGTGCATTCCAAGCAATCTCAAATCATCTGACAGATTTAAGTTTAATCTAAATGCATTACTCACTGATATTAGTTGTACATAATCTAGCAAGAAGGTCGCTGGTTCGAGCCCCGGCTGGGTCAGTTGGCATTTCTGTGTGGAGTTTGCATATTCTCCAAAAACATGCTCCAAAATAAGTCTGAAATCAAATACATCTACACATCTTGATATGCAATGAAAGGTGAGCCAATTTGGAATATGGCATGAAAACCTATTTTCTCCACATAAATAAGTAAATAAATAAGTCATAAAAATGATGATGACTTAAAATGTCAAATGAATAACATTAAAACCCATTCGAAAAATAAAAAAAAATGACATAACTCAAAATTAGGTGACATCATTTAATGCACTGTTTCTCAACCACGTTCTAAGAGGATCACCAACGCTGCATGCTTTGTCACAGTCATTACAACTCTCTGAGTCTCTGCTATTGAGCTGATCTGAATCAGATGTGTTTGGTTAAGGACACATGGGCCGTTTCTCAATATGCGTTCTTCAGCAATATTGCGTCCTCATGTGACATCATCTTTAACCATCAAAGTTTAGTTTCAAAACTCAAGAACGCAAGACATTCCCGGATGTGTTCTTGGTATCGAGGATGCGTCGATGCAGATTTGAGCACTGAACTCGCTCTAGATGCCCCAGAAGTCATTGCGAGGTGGGAAGCACAGCATTTCATATAGATTTAATATTAAAGTTCAGAGATATATCTTATTTATCTCAAGAGTTTCCCTAAATGCACCAGTGAAAGTAAACATTACCATAAAAAATCTTAATAAAAGGTATAAACAAATTAAGGGTGTTTATTTGTTGAAATTCGTATTCAAATTTGTTTACAAATTTTTACAAAAACCATTAAGTCAATTGCGATGCTCATTTTGATTAGCTTTTAGTCAATCGTGAGTTTGCGATGCTGTTTTCTCTTTGCACTTTACGTTGCTTTCACTTAAGCAACATCATCAGCTGGAGACAAAGTATCATCAAGGTGTTTTTTTTTTTTTTTTGGCAGATATTTTAGTTTTTCTGTACTGTTTGATGTTTATTTGCAGTTCTTTTTTTAGTAGCAAATTTAATTTTTATTGCTCAAAAAATATTTTTGCTTTGCGATTTTTGGAGATTGCATTAAATTTTTGCTCATTACTTTATTTTTTGTTTGCAAAACTTTTTTTATTTGTCAAGTATATATAGCCCTAGATTGACTCCATACAAATCGGTTCTCTGCGTTCTTGGAATGAAAAACAGTCATGGAAAATGTGCAGAACTGGTGGTCTTTCAGGAACATGGTTAAGAGACACTGATTTATTATATATATATATCCCCAACAGGGCTGCTTTTACATAAATAACAACAATAGTGTTCTAATATGAAATAAAAGTCTTCAATGATTCTCCTAATACTAGTGTATGCGTAACTAAAAATCTTGCCTTATTTCAAAGCTAGCCTACAGACAATACACAAGAGAACCAATTAAGTGTGCATTTTCTTCACCTCCTCCTCATTTTTCTTCCATGGTGCCGAGTGAATTGCATTTCCAGCTGTACGAAAACAAAGGAGTTCTCATGTATTGTGAAGCAGCCAGATTTGAACATATGTCAGTGTCAATGAATTGGCTTGTTCTTCACACAAAGCTATTAAGACTTAGACAGCAAAGAGATATAGGAAAACAGCACCATCATCGGCCACCATGCAGTTTTGTTTCATCAAAAATAGGTGCTGGGACATTTTAAATAAATCTTGAGCTCCACCAAGACCAACAAAAGGTTATGACAGCTTGTCTCTACTTCAAAATAAAAATGGATTACCGTGACTTAACTTTACTGATTTTGTTCAATTAACTCATAACTACATCTAGATTTCCTAAAGTAACTTCATCTACAGACGTTCTCACAGTTTATAGGCATCAATAATGAATTTGTTTTATTTGAGATTACTTGACACATTTCCAAAGCTCAAATTATTGGACACAGGACGTGTTTGCCTTCTTTTTTTGAATGCTGTCATTCATTCTCTGGCAAAAAATGCAATAACAACATCTGACACCACACAGGTGCCCAGACCACAGAACACAAACAGCTATTGGAGTGAGATGGGGGAGTGGAATAATGAAGCGCATACATGCATAAACACATACGGTGAGGCTGTCATCTCCACTGGGACTCAGAGTGTGAAGATACCCGATACACATGGGAAAGCAAGTGCACCACCGCATGAGTGCACACACAAAAATAAAGATATGGTAGATAGGAAAGAAGCAGAAATTTGGATTTACCACAACATGGTGTGATCTCCATGCAGGAAAGCTTCTTATAATGAAACAAGAGAGACTGAAGTCTTTGGTGAAGTCTATTTCAAAAATCTGTGCACTGCATACAATGTCAAGATCATGAATGGGTGCGAGTTTCTTTCTTCCAGCAACCACAAGTGCACCTATTTATTTTGAGAGGCTACAGAGGGAATTCCAGGGGGTGTGGGGGTGTACACAAGGCACAGAACATCATAAGACGTCAATATTAGGTTAGATTTAGGTCATGACATTAGATGACCAAAATTCAATGCCTAGCCAGCTTCTAAAGACATTATTTTGATGTCTAATAACGATGTCAAATTAAGTTTATATTTGGTTGATTTTAGGTTTTGTTGGAAAATGACCAAACGTCTGATGGATGTTATAATTCAGTTCAATTCAATTCAGCTTTATTTGTATAGCTCTTTTACAATGTAGATTGTGTCAAAGCAGCTTCACATAAATGGTCATAGAACCTGTATCAGGGTAGTTCAGTTTTTAGTGTTTAAGTTCAGTTCAGTTTAGCTCAGTTCAGTGTGGTTTGAAGTCATTATTGAGAGTCCAAACACTGAAGAGCAAATTCATCGATGAGTACTTTTCAGATCCTGAACCATGCAAGCCAGTGGCGACAGCGGAGAGGGAAAAAAAAACTTCACCAATAGGAGAGTGAAGAAAAAAAAACCTTGAGAGAACCAGACTCAATTCGGCATTACCATTTTAATTTCTCCGCTGGCCAAAAGATGTTATAGTAAGAACGTCCACACAACGTCAAGGTGTAACACAATTAGACTTTGATATTTGGTTGATTTTAGGTTGGACATTGGACGTTGACCTGATGTTGGTTTTCTGAAATCAACCTGATTTTTATTTCCAAATAAAATCCAATGCCCCACGACATTGGGGTACGTTACTATGGCGTAATGTTGATGTCCTGTGCCTGTACGGTATAGTGGTAGTTATTAAACAACAAACTGAATGTGCAAATTTAACAATTAAAAATTGCCTTCAACTCAGTTAAATTCATGTCCTTACATGATTAATTATACTGTGTGGAGCATAATAATTGTGATCAGTACTTTTGACATTTTTATGCATTTGGAAGTTGGTAGAATTTGAAGAAAAATGCAATGTGTAATTTGATTGTATGGTCCCAAATTAAGGATATATATCTGTGGTATCTTTTTATGTACATAGCAAACTGTGCAACTAATTGTGCAAAGCAAACTGTGCAAACTAATATACATTGATTTGAAAGTTGCCCTTAAAGGCACAATATGTAATTTTTGCTGCTAGAGGCCATGACTAAGTGTAGAATCACAGGAGTTGTGGTCGTCATTAGATCCTACAGGACTCAAAATCGAAAAAAATCACATTTGTGGGGATTTTAGATCCTATTTTAACATCAGGATATAAAAAACAGAGACGTACTAGGTTTATATCACCCCAATATGACTGTGGACTCACCATAACCACACACAGAACTGTCCAAACAGCTTACAAAAGATGATTTTTATCATAGGTTCCCTTTAATGAAAAAACCCTTATATATTCTGCCTTTAAATTTCCTTGATGTTAAAAACTGTGCATATACAAATGTATGGGTTTCTTCTGTATTGACCAGTCATTAATCATGTGACTCCAGTGCCGAAAAAAAGGAGGATAACTTTCTCTGCAAACTCTGGTCACTTATAACGGCCAAATACAGGCAGAATTGTGAATAACAAACTCTTTCTTTTTAGGAGAAAGGGAGTTTACACAATTTAATAAAACAATATTACAATTTGACTTGTAAATATAAGACCAAGACATGTTATTGGCAGGTTGTGTGAGAATCTACCTAAAATCTCACTTACAAAGTAATTAAGCCTTACCGGTTTCTCATAACTAATGACAGGTAAACTATAATAAAAACAAACAAGCTCATCCTAATACCCAAAGAGAAAGGAGCCTAATTAACTTTAATGGCTTAATGAGCCATATCCAGTCAGGAAAGAAAAGCCTTAGAAAACAGCATGGTCGAGCTATTTTGGCATTGATTTGTGTGCACTTCAGTCAAGATGTTCAGAACTATCTGTCCAAGCAATTAGCATTAATTTATCTACCCCATGCACCCAGCATACTGAGGAGCATGACGAATAATGTGCCTGCTAAGTAGCTTTACATTATTACTTGATTGATATGTGTTTCAAAATGTCTCTGCTGTCAATCAATCTTTATATATACCTCCGGTGCTGTTTAATCCTTCTCCCTCATCTGTGATGGGACCAGATGTGTAACCCACCCCCCCTCTTTGCCTCTGCATCAACATATGCTAGCAGCTCAGAGTAATTTCCTCATTCTGTAATCGGGCACTGAGGAATTAGCACTCTGCTCCAGTGATAAAGAACGTGGCTCCCGGCCGTCCCCGCTGTATATGTCTGTGCCACTTTATCACACTTCAATAATCATTGCAGCTTTCAAAATTCTAGACTAGGCTTTGTACAAACGATGCAAAGAGAGAGTTAAACTATATTTAGAATGACTAAATTGTTAAGTGTATATATGACTATATTGTTATTGATATGGTTGATAAAACAACAAATAATGGATAGCTAAAACTAACAAGACAGACAGAAAGATAGATAGATAGATAGATAGATAGATAGATAGATAGATAGATAGATAGATAGATAGATAGATAGATAGATAGATAGATAGATAGATAGATAGATAGATAGATAGATAGATAGATGGCAGGTAAGCTGGCAGATAGAAAGACGATGGATGGACAGACAGACAGACAGACAGATAGATATATAGATAAAAAGACAGGCAGGCAGGCAGAGACAGACAGACCTAGACAGAGATAGAATGCAAAGAATTAAGAGGAAAGAAAGAAAGAAAGAAAGAAAGAAAGAAAGAAAGAAAGAAAGAAAGAAAGAAAGAAAGAAAGAAGCTCTGTATCACAAAAGTGGGCTGAGAGAGGTTGTTTGCACCTCGCTCACTAAACTAAATCTGACTCACATACAGCCTCACCAATGTGACTCAGCAGTTATAAAACATCGACAAAACACATATAAATCATCCAAAAAGTAAAAGAATGAGTGTTAAAACATCTCAAGGCGCCAAATTGCTTAAAATATCCTGCTACGTGAGAACACGACGCTGTTTCTATCTGCCTGACGAGATGATCGGTTTCCGGCAAAGGCGCGCCACCTGCTGACAGAATCTAGAAACTTCGCTTCTGGAAATGCTCCAGGTCTCATTGTAAACTTGGCGACCTCAACTCAACCCGACCCAATTTTCCATCCAGACCCACAGAGAGAAACACACAGGACAAAGCGGTGATTATGCACAGAATGTTTAAATACATTTTAGGCAGTTTAACATTACGTGCTAAAGAAAGAAAATGTGACAAGGTAAAGGTCTCACAGATGTCGTAGCCTGCTGAAGGATCCGGGTTCAGTTTTCTCCACCATGGTTTAAACTTTAGCAGGTTTCTGATCTCCTCCTTGTCCTCATACAAGTTTACTCTGCGTCAACCAAACAGACTCATCAGTCAAATAAAAATACTCACAAAACAAACAAGACATAATGTTATGGATACGTTTCTATTTTTTTGTTTTTGGGATGTTCAATTCAAGTCATCTTTATTTCTATAGTACTTTTTACATTGTAGATTGTAAAGCCCATAATAATTTAATTGTGGAACATTCCACTATTTCAAGTCAGACAAGCAGGAGAGTAGTGTAGAATGGTGTAGTTCTAGTTTAGGGCTGCACAATATATTCTTTTGGCTTTGATATCACAATGTTAGCATCCGCAATTGTCACATCACAGGATCTGCAATGTTCAGTCAGGATTTGTAGACTATTAGGCATAACAATTCAGAACATATAATTTGTGGAGTTATTGCAAAGTTTATCCATAATCAAGGTTGTAAATTCGCTCTTAACATTGGTGGGGACATACAACCTAAGAGCGCATGCATTGAACTACACAAATTCTGTTTTGCACTTTTAAAACATGCCTAAAGTACTTTATAGTATAAAATAAACACTTAACAATACAAATAACAATCTCATTCCATGCTGCAAAAGTCAATTTACATGATTTTACTGCAGTCTGGCTTGAGGAGGTATGAATTTAGAGAAATTTAGAGAGGTGTGTGACGCAAGTTTTATCCCGATTATTGTTTTTCATAATTATGGAGGCCAAAATCAAAACTGAAGTTTAGTTAATTGCACTTGCCTTAATTAATATTACAGTGAACTATCTACGATAAATCATCTGCATCTTTGCACTATTGTTTTTATCTTCACATGTAATTTATTTATTATATATTATTGTATGCTATTCCATCAATAACATTCATATCAAAACTAATTTCTTACAGAATAGAGCTATTTAAGTCATCTGGTGGAATTGTATTTATAATCGCAATGTATATTGCAAAAAATAAATAAATCGCGATGTCATTTTTTCCCGAATATCATGCAGCCTTATTTTAGTTGCATTAAAACAGATTCATTTCAGTTTAGTGTTACGTGTTTGTGTTGTTTGTATTTCCGCCTCTCTCTCTCGCTCTGTTCTCCCATATCTGTTCCATATTCTCAGGTTCTGTTCATTGGTTAATCCATCCGTCAATCATTTCCTTCCTGCTGATGTCACTCTGATGTCATATCTAATAGGTCAAGACCACCCAGCATAACAGCCTGTGCCAGACCACTCACCAGTCCCTTGTTTCTGTTGCTGTGTTTATTCCATTGCATTAACATATCTTTAACGAGACTTGGACGAAGCGGACAGGTAAGCAGGTCACGTGACATACATTTTGCAACTTATAGAACTACTCTTATGTTTTGTACATTATGTAGGATAGCAGGATAGTTCAGAAGACTCTTTGCGTGTATATTATTTTGTTTCATATATTTAGTTAGATGCTTCTGGGGAGATAGATATTGTTTAGGTTTTGTTCTTTTCTTTTCTTTAGCACTGCCCATGTCCCTTCTGCTAGCTCTCTTGTTTTCCCTGTCTTTTTGCTTGTCCCAGTAATGTATATATTGTAAATATTTTAAGTTTTGTTTTTTGCATTAGCTACTTTTTTCTGTATTTTTGATTAATTCATTGTTTTGAAACAAGTCACAGTTTTGGTATATCTGCTTTAGTTTTCTTTTGCACGTCACTCACTGTATATACAGTTAAAGTCAGAATTATTAGTCCCCTTTAAAATTTATTTTCTTTTTAAAAAACTGTCCAAATGATGTTTAACAGAGCCAGGAAATTTTCATAGTATGTCTGATAATATTTTTCTTCTGGAGAAAGTCTTATTTGTTTTATTTCGGCTAAAATAAAAGCAGTTATTATTTTTTTTAAAAACATTTTAAGGTCAAAATTATTAGCTCTTTTAAGCTATATTGATTTTTTGATAGTCTACAAAACAAACCACTGTTATACAATAACTTGCCTAATTCCCTAACATGCCTAGGTAACCTTATTAAACTAGTTAAGCTTTTAAATGTCATTTTGAGCTGTATTGAAGTGTCTTGAAAAATATCTAGTCAAATATTATTTACTATTATCATGCCAAAGATAAAATAAATCAGTTAGTAGAAATGAGTTATTAAAACTATTATGTTTAGAAATGTGTTAAAAAAAAAAAAAAAAAAAAAATTATATATATATATATATATATATATATATATATATATATATATATATATATATATATATATATATATATATATATATATATATATATATACAGAGGGGCTAATAATTCAGAGGGGTTAATAATTTTGACTTCAACTGTACATACATTTATTTTAATTGTACATTAAATGTCAAAGCCCATTCCCCTAAAATAACATCAGGGGTTTGTAACATTTAGTAAAAATATCACTGTTGAAGTTCAGTTCAGTTTAGTTTATTCAGATCACTGTAATGTTCAGTGAAATAATGTTTTACATTTTTTATGTCATTTCAAAACACTGACCGATTTAATGACATTTGATACAGAAATAGAGAAGGCTGACTTACAAGTAATGGTCAGCACAAAATACTGCAGTCTCTGTGTCTAGTCGATTGCGTCTTCTGAGTTCAGCGTTGGTGTTGTCTGGATCCTTCATGTCAATCACCTCATTCAGCTCCTCCTGAATAGCACAATGTAAATGAACGTTAGCCTATTTATCAAAAACTTTTTCAAAAGACCTTATCACCAAGGACAAATGTTCTTACTTGCAGTCTACTGAAGACTCCAGACCTAAGATTTCCAAAGCCGTACTTGTGGTATTCCTTCAGTGTGTCCGCTGGGGCTTCAGTGTAAACCTCCTGTTCGATCTGCCAGTCAAACTCTTCGTCTTCCTCCTCACATCCTTCACCACAGGCCTCTGAGAGAACGCCAGCAGGGAGCGTTCAGAGAATACAGAACGAGAGAAACTTGAAATTAAAATGCCACGAGAACGTGCTGGAAGATGATCAGCATTTTGTAATGATGTGAAGAATTAAACCTGAGTCCTCCACCAACGGTTTGGCAGATCTGGATCCTTTTGGAGCCAGGAGGCTGGTGAGCATCTCCAAACCCTCAAAGTGTTGTCCGGCTGTCTCTTTAGGGACGTGCAGTGTAAATAAACCTGAAACATACACAGAACAATTTTCAAAGTACTCCCATGTAATTCTTCCTTCGTAATCAGAGGTCCTTGTTAATTTCTGCTATTAAAAGGGATAATTCACCCAAACATTTTATTCTGGTTTAAAATAATTTACCTACCCTTGACTTTATTGCAAACCTGCTGGGTTTTTTATTTTGTCAAACACAAAAGAAGATATTTTGAAGAATCTTGGAATTTTTTTTTAATTTGTTTAACCTACTATGGATGTGAGTGAATGATGACAGCATTTTCATTTTTAGATAAACCATACCGTTTAAGATGCAGTTTTTACAATCAGATCATAAGTAGACAGGAAAACATGTTGCAGTTATACTTGGAGATTTAATCCACATCTATTGTCAACTTTTGATCCTTTTTATTGTTTCCTTCACAGGCTTTCTTTATTTAAGGGGAGGGTCTATAAATAGTTTATGTCTGGGCCTTTTCTGTGTATGTGTATAGACAAAGAGGTCAGCTAGCGAAGTACTGTGCAGGTAAACCTCACTCCTCTGGCCTCAAAAGGTGCTCTAGTGACAGACACTAGAGAACATGGTCTTTATCCTCCTTGTGAGAGCAACAGATTCCCAGGCAAAGAATTGTCGGTTCGATCCTAGCTCAGACCAGGTTGGGTGCAGTAGGACCGGTGGGTTTTTTAACACACACACAGACAGACAGACAGACAGACAGACAGACAGACATCTTCAACCACACAAGCATTGTAAAAGAAAAGTCAAAAGAAATCAAATCAAAAGTATTTTTGAACACCTCTGTCTAAGTGACTGGAGAAGCATACATCATAAGAGAAAAGGGTGCTGTTCACCAGAATATTTTAATTAAAAATGACAAGGTTTATAAAAATGTAAATATTTGACTGAACACACACACACACACACACACACACACACACACACACACACACACACACACACACACACACATATATATATATATATATATATATATATATATATATATATACATACATACACACACACACACACACACACACACACACAAAATAAGATCAATAACATGCATTTAGATTGAGTTTATGTATTGAGTTTATGTATTGAGTCACAAAGGATACTAAAGACACAGAAGACTATACATAAATGATGACCTTTCATTTTTTTCACACACATACATACATACATACATACATACATACATACATACATACATACATACATACATACATACATACATACATACATACATACATATATATATATATATATAATTAAATATTTTATGATGACAAAATTAGCTTACAACACATTTTTGAAGTGAATGGGAGTAGTGCTTGTCTAAAACTCACTCCAACATTAACTAACTTCTTTGCATTTCTTTGCTTTGTTTGTCTACTCCCATATAAGTTTGATAGACCTGTTTGGAAACTCATTCTTTCAGCAATTATGTTTCATTCAATTGCTAATAGAGCAGAAATTACCCACTTCACCTTTAAATCGCTACCCTGTTTAAATAGGTTGTTAGGCTAGCAGCTTTCTTTTGCACACTGGTTATTAAAGAAGCACAACACAACAAACGCACATTAAAGTCAGCATGAAATGGAAAATCACCTCATCTATTTCCCAAATGCATGTTATAGATGGAAATGTGGGTCATTCTTAAATGCATGTGTTAAACTCTTTTGGTCCACATAATTAAAAATCAAATGTTCTGTGGAATAAAGCATTAAAGTGTTTTACTAATTTCAGTAGTGCCAAAAAAAAGTCATTTTAAAATTGTAATTATTTAAAATCCAGAAAATTCAGAATCCACAAATCTATCATTGGTTAATCTCTTGCCGTTTAGGGCTGATCAGGATTATGGTATGTTATGAAATATGAAAGCAGCCCCATAACCTTTATTTCAGGGAAATGACATAGTTTTATAGCTTTGTTTCTACTTGTTAAGCCAAGACAAAAGAACATATTAAAAAAATAAAAGAAATACTGATATAACCCTTAAAATGACAGTAATTTCCTTGATTGTAGTCTTTAGAGGTTTGTGAATGATTTATAATGTCTTATGTAAACACCGAAAGCAATTAGAGGTGCTTTATGACAGACGACTATTAAATTATTCACTGGCTGTCGATCAAAGAAGACGAGCTGAAACGAGGCCAATGAGATGTCAAGCAGAAGATCCCGTGGCCATTAGGTATAATTAAAAGCGCTAATAGGCAGCTCATTAAAAGACATGTCGGGACAACGGCAGATCGGTCAGACACAATCACAGCACTCCTTCTGCCGTTTCTTCATGAATTAAAGATTGATAAGCACCACACGAAAGACAGAGAAAGAGAGCACCAGCATAATCAAAGTGAAGGTGGATTACAATAGAGAAAGAAGAGAGATCGTTATGATGCTGACAGCTCAACCGGCTGATTAAATGTGAGAGTTTGTGTTATAATGAAGTCTGCTCGGAAGGTAGCAAAAAGAAAGAGAGAGAGTCGCTCAATTTCTGAATTTGTACTTGTAATTATATATCCTTGTTTATATTTATGACATGAGCACTTTAAAGAAATTTGAAAATAGTAATAAAAAATTTAATGACTTTTGAATGAGTGATGTTTGTCAATTTCCCTTTATTTGCCAAAAGATACTGTTTTGCTGATTTTTCAAGTCACCGTTTTTTTTAACAAGCATTTCAAATGTTAAAATTAATAATAATAATAATAATAATAATAATAATAATAATAACAATAAGCACTGTGGGGCGAAGCAATGGCACAGTAGGTAGTGCTGTCGCCTCACAGCAAGAAGATTGCTGGGTCGCTGGTTCGAGCCTCGGCTCAGTTGGCGTTTCTGTGTGGAGTTTGCATGTTCTCCCTGCGTTCGTGTGGGTTTCCTCCGCATGCTCCGGTTTCCCCCACAGTCCAAAGACATGTGGTATAGGTGAATTGGGTAGGCTAAATTTTCCGTAGTGTACGAGTGTGTGTATGTGTGTGTGGATGTTCCCAGAGATGGGTTGCTGTTGGAAGGGCATCCACTGCGTAAAAACTTGCAGGATAAGGTGGCGGTTCATTCCGCATCGGCGACCCCGGATTAATAAAGGGACTAAGCCGACAAGAAAATGAATGAATGAATGAATGATAGCCACTGTGTGCTGTTGGGGATGTTTTCATCTACTCTGAGGTGATTTTGAGTTTTAATTTGGCCACAACTTTCTGCAAATGGAATGTTTTTTTAGTGACCACTCTTAATTTGACACTAGGGATGCAACGATTATCTGATTTCACTATTAACCGCACTTTAATTCGTCATGGTTAATTAATCATAAAGGCTTCTCAACACCGCACGTCAGCATGGAACAAAACTGCTGCAACTAAACAAAGCTTATACAGCGAGGCTAATATGTACGTACATTGGATTAACAATGGCTGATGCGATTAACTACGGGCCGCTCACATATTGTATCGTTTGCATGCACAAGTTTGTTATTACAAATAGAAGCACATATTGGGGGCGATGCGTTCACACTTCCCAAGTGCACCTATCTGAAAGAATGTTGCGAACGCACAGTGAGTCACGTGACAAGAACTGACCAATTATCTTCTTGCTTTTTATAGAATATACACATTTCTTCCCCAAACAGAGAATACAAAATGAAAATACTAAAAAAGTTTGTAATATAGTTGATCAAAAGTCCTTTTCAGACAGAGATTCAGCAGCTTTTGAGTGTGTTTGTTGTCTTTAAAAGGGAAATACTTAAGCTAATATGATGCTTAGATTTACATTAGACAAATGCAATTTTTTAAATTTATTCTTATTTAAATGTATTATTTGTATTCATTGTTCTGTCATTTATTTTCAGTGTAAAATGTTTCCACTTATTTTAAGTCCAAAGAGAAATAGACTATTGTTTGTTTTTATTAATACTTTGTGCTGTATTATTCAGTTACTGAGCAGCAATAAATTACACTTTAAAGTATAAGGAGTTATCATCTGATTTTCTAAACTAGTAGTGTTTTAAAATTAATGAATGCATAACAATCATGATAACTATGAATATTCCTCCGACTATAATCGCAAAACCAAAATCTACAATCGTTGCATCCCTATTTGACAAATATTTTGGGAAAATGTTTTGGAATTTTTCGAAATCTTAACAATACACTGGGAAAATGTACTACCGTTTCATTATGCTCGAGGGTGTTTTTGCCCCATTGACTTACATTATAACAACCTTTATTGATTGCAAAGCCATGACACCAAAAAATCACGCATTATTGATTATTGGTTGTTTTCCTTATTGGAATGAGGTAAAATTTGCGCTTTGTACTGTTGATCATTAGTTACAGAGCAAAAAAAAGTTTAGTTACTGGCTTTTATATGAAGTATAGTGTGTGTATGTGTGTTAATAAAAAATAGCAAAGGCGACATAATGACTCAGTGGTTAGCACTGTCGCTTCAAGAAGGTCACTGATTCGAGTTCCAGCTGGCATTTCTGTGGCGTTTGCATGTTGTCCTCGAGTTTGCGTGGGTTTCCACCACAGTCTAAAGACATGTGCTATAAATGAATTAAATCAACTAAATTGGCCGTAGTGTACGAGTGTGTGTGAATGAGTGTATACGGGTGTTTCCTAGTACTGGGCTGCGGCTGGAAGGGCATCCACTGTATAAAACGTATACTGGAATAGTTGGCAGTTCATTCTGCTGTGGTGACCTCTGAAATTGAAACTGAAATGAATGATTGAAAAATAATCAGCTCAGCTCTCATTACATAGTAAGCATAGCAAGTGTATTAATGCAGTCACACTGTAATTTGCTGTTTTGCTCCATAGAACTCCATATAAAAGCCAGAACCTTTTCTAAAGGGGTCATGGTGCCAGCTGATGATCAACAGAAAAAATTAAACATTTGATCTCTTCTCAACAGGGAAAACCACCAACAGTCAAGAATGTATGATCATTTGGTGTCATGGCTTTGCAATAAAAAAGTGGTTATAATAGAAGTCAATGGGGCAAAAACAGCCACGAACATAACGACAGGTACTAGTCATTTTGAACAATACACAAGGGATAATAAAATAATAATAAACGACCCTTGTTTTGAAAAGGCGTTATTGAAATGAATGACCAAATTTTATCAAAGAAATTACCATTGGATCCTAAGATTTTTATTCCGGGTATATAGGCTGTCAGCCCTCTCCTATAAAGCAAAGAAGTCAGATTCATAGCAATGTGTATTTTACAGGCTAAATGTATTTTTGCTCTTAATTGGAAAAATATAAATGAACCTAGAATTGGAAAGTGGATTAATGAAATGGTGCCACATATGTCAATGGAAAGGATCACATGTATTGTCAAAAGAAACAAAATGTGTTTGAAGATATTTGGAGACCTTTTATTAACCTTCTAAAGTACAATGTAAATGTTGGCAGTCTACTACAACAAGAACAAGCTCTGAGGGAGTAGGAGAGTTTCATGGTCCAAACTCGAGAAATACTCTTTACCTGATTTAAACATGATTTTTTTGGGAATGGGTTGATGAGAGAGAGAGAATAGGGTGAGAAATGTTTGCTGTGTCTACATGATTGATATTCTGTAACTGTGTAATCTGTTGTGATATGCAAACTGAAAAAGTAATAAATATATCTTGTACAAAAAATACCCTTGTTTTACAAGTTATCTTTCAATGGTCTTAAAAATTGTTCCCATTATTTGCCAAAAGTTAGTGCTTTTCTCTAATTTTCACTTGTTAACACCTTTTAGAGGAAGATAAGACAGGAAATTATGAAAAGGAATATGATTCAATACATGTCTTTGATGTTTTTTTACTAGCGCAAAGTAGGAATTAATGGAAATTGCTAAATTATGGGGACGAAAAAAGCTGAGTTTCTATTGCACACATTACTGTGCTTGATACAACCTTGCAATAAAAAAAAACTCAAATTTTAGACCCTACTGGGAGATTAAAACAGTGTAATGTTAAAATGACAGTAATTGCGTTGACTGTAGTCCTTCCAGATTTGTGAAAGATTTATAATTACTCGTTACTCAGTGTAAACACTGAAAGCAATTAGACGTTTTTTATGATAGACTACTGCTAAATTATTCACTGGCTGTCGATCAAAGAGGACAAGCTGAAAAGAGGCCAAGGAGATGTCAGAAACAGGATCCCATGGCCATTATTTAGCAACTGGAAATGCTAATGCTATTAGGAGAGCAGGCTGACAGCTTGAATTTGATGTAGAAACTGTAAAATAATAACAAATGAGCTGACTGGCTGCAATCTTTCAAACCAAAAAGAAATGTAGAAATGCTACTGTTGTTGCATAGCATCATTTATTTTTAATGAGTCTTTGGTCAAGAATGCAGCTCAAATACACAGTTAAAATATAAAGACAAAAGCTTTCTGAACATTTGCCTCCACAATTTTAGAGGCTTGAGCTTAAACTGTCAACCTAAGATTTTAATCAAAAGTAATAGAAAGGAATTTCTCACACACAATATTTTTAAAGGGATAAAGCACCCAAAAATGAAAATGTACTCATCATTTACCCACCCTCAAAAGGTTTTATGTGTTTTTCTTTTTCTGTTGAACACGAAAGAAAAATTCTGGAAACTAAAAAAAACAAATACCATGCAAGTCAATAGTTAAATGTTTTTTGACATTTTTCAAAATAACTTCTTTTAAATACAACAGAAAAAAAACTCAGAACAGGTTAGAGATAAGTGAAAGTCGAGTAAATGATCACAGAGTTTTCAGTTTTGGGGGAACTATCCATTTAAGACCATTTTAATTTACACACTTGTGCTGTCAGACTGTGCAGTATTGCTCTATTTCAGCGTGGCTGTAATTGGAATCACAGTCATGCTAATACTGAACATTTCTTTGTGCAATATTGATTATATATTACACTAATCACCAAGCTATTAATTAATTCCACAAGAACTGTAAGAAAAGGTAAGCTTTACCTTTTATCGTCTGGTAGGGTTTACTTTTTTAAGAACATCCATTTTATTTCGTCCCACATTGTTGTTGTTGTTTTTTTAGATATATACAGCTTACTCAAAAGTTTACATAACCCGTTCGAAAACAACTGTATATATTTTTTTAGAAAGTGAATAATTTTACCAAAATGTGCATTGTTTTTAAATTTAGCGCTGTCCTGAGTAACATATTGTACATGAAACAAAATTACCTATAGCTCACTACACAAGAATTTTGCAGAAACAAAATGTTAATAACCCCTAGCAAAACTGTACATATCCTTGCTTTTTAATACGGTGTGTGGTTTCCTGATGATCTATGAGTGCTTTTTTTGCTTTGTGATGTTGTTCACAAGTGTCTTGTTTGTTCTGAACAGTTAAACCAACTGCATCTTCAGCACATTCTTCAGTTTTCCAGTGAACTGGATGTAAACTTCTTTTAAGTAAAATATCCTACTCAGAACGGTACTAAACAGAAATAACATCCATTTGTTCAATCCATTTTGTATCATCTCAGATTTTATTAAAACTTTTCACATTTTAACAAATACTTCAAGTGGTGTGTAAACTTTTGAGCACAACTTTATAACTACAATGAGAAAAACTGGTTCAATTAATAATAACTGCTTCTAAAATAGCTTAGTAATAGGTTGAGTAAAGCTAGAGAAGAACATTTGAAGAAACGGATTTCTACAACAATTTTGCTGCTTCCGCTGAAGCTTGCTTATGTGTTTTTTTTTTTTTTTTGGTCAAGAAACTGTCAAGTGTCTGTGCTCAAAGGTATTGAAGAGCAAATAAAAACAGTTTTCAGTTGCTTTCCGAGAGACCCGCAGGAAAAACAGTAACAAAAAGTGATTGTTACCTTTATCGATATCGAATGAAGCTTTTTCCCGTCCATCTTCAACTATTCTCCCAGGCAGAGTCAACCTTCAGAGCAAGTATTAACAATAACAATATATTAACATTTGCACTACAACATGTTTATGCATTTATTTGCAATTTGCATTCTAAAACTAAAAGTCAAATTCATAAATGTCCCTGTTTTACATGAACAAACATAAAACCAAGCCGCTTCTAAAAACAAATGATCCTATGCAATGATCCTTCTCTCTAGTAGACTCTAGTGAAAGGCTTTGATTCACTTTAAATGGTAACCAGTGTATTTACGACCAATCTCAGAATGTTCCAAATTGAGTAGTTTCTGCAATAATTTTCAAAGGAGTTTATTATTCATTTTAATTGTGGATAAGCCGTTTAAATGCTTTTTTAGGGCTCTGTCCTAGCAAGTAAAAATCTTTGTAAATGCTTTTTCCTGTAACAAAATGTCAATCAACGCATTTGCAGAGTCACCTGAGAAAGTAGGGCTTGGCATAGAACTTAAATTCCTCCTCTTGGATGTAGATGTCGAAATCTGATGTTCTGGTGTAGGGTACACGAATAACTACAATGAGGAAATCTGCATCTTGACTGAGTTCAAATGCCGGCGTTATCATGATTATACACTGTGAAGTACTGCAACAACAAGACAGAAAAAAACAAACAATTAGTGATTATTATTCAAAAATGGACAAAAGTAATCCTAAAGAATTTTTTTTAATTACATTTTCAAATTATTTCCTATGCCAAGTTATAATATAATATAACATAATTAGTGCTGTGCAAAAATTAATTGCAACTAATCGCATCCAAAATAATAGTTTGATATAGTTTGAGTGTATGTACTGTGTATATTTATTATTTTTATGTAAATACACAGGCATGTATATATTTGAGAAAATGCTTATTTATATTTAGATATAAAAAATATTTGTATATGATACAAATTATATATAAACATTTAAGTATCTGCAACAAAATAGATTTGTATAGTTTTGTTTCTATGCATGTATCAAAACAAACTTTTATTTTGGATGCGATTAATTAGGATTCATTTTTGCACAACACTAAACATTATATAATATAATGCTACTACACAATAAACTCAATTAAAATTAAATCGAAAAAGAATATTTAAAAAACTAATAATAATATAATATAATAAAATAATTTTATTCATTTTCTTTTCGGCTTAGTCCCTTTATTAATGCGGGGTCGCCACAGCAGAATGAATCACCAATTTATCCAGCACGTTTTATGCAGCGGATGCCCTTCCAGCTGCAACCCATCACTGGAAAACATATATAAAGACTCATTCACACACATACACAATGGACAATTTACTCTATTCACCTATACCACATGTCTTTGGACTTGTGGGGGAAATCGGAGCACCCAGAGGAAACCCACATGGAACACAGGGAGAACATGCAAATTGCAAACTCAACAAAACTGACTGGGCTAAGACTCGAACCAGCGACCTTCTTGCTGTAAGGCGATTGTGCTAGCCACTGCACCACCACGTAGCCAAAATAAAATCAATATTTCACAAAATTTTAAAGAATCAATTAATATCTTCTTTTATGTGTTAGTATTGTATCTCTAAATAGGAAACTACAACAATAATCAAACATCTGACATTACATCAGTTACATCATTACATCATCATTGGCTTTTATATTCACACATTCAGACTTTCTCGTTAATAATATAATTTCATAAAAGTTTTCTTTGCTAATTCTAAATATTGAATCATATTAGCAGCTAATGACTATCAAAATACAACAATGTTCACAGTCAACTGAATAGTGTTGATGTTGTTTTGAAGTCATACTAGCATGTCATTTCAGACCGAATATTCAAAGTACCATGGTAAACAAAATAGGGAGGATTTCACAAGTTGTCACTGAACAAATGTGCGAATATAAAACCAACATAACTCAATCAAATAATCAACTCAAACTCAAAAAATCAACTAGCCATGGTCCATCTGACAAAAAGTCAACATGTGAGGAGTAAAAGAAAAGAAAAGGGCAGCTTACAACTCCACCTTGTGGTTACTCCATTAGTTCTCAATAAGAAATATTGTAAACAACCCCTTTGCCAACTAGTATTTTAGACACAGTTAGCTTTACATTAACATTATCATATTCAATACAACTCTATTAAACAGTCAATAAGCATTTTTAAAAGGACAAAATACCAAAATAAAGGAAAACCACGCAACAAGAAGATAAAAGTCGCTATATTGATTTAATACGTGCTCACAGCCAAAACCACAGCCAAATCAGTCAATTAAATGATGAAAGATGATAAATCCCAATACAGACAAGAAGATGCCAAAACCTATGTCTACCTTTTTGTTTATTCAATGTTTATGCCAACGTAAAACAGGCAAGACAAGACACACTAAATGCAGTATTTAAGTTATTACGTTATTCATTAATATAATGCGATATAAAAGACACAAATTACAACAACATAAAACAAAACGTTTCATACCTTCACGCGTTTTCTGTGAACAGTTAAATGCGCTAAACAACATCAGTAACACATATGCAGCACATGGATTGTCTGCTTCCTGCTTTCTCTGATGGCCATGTTTTACCGTAATGCCACATATAAAGGCGGCATAAAATAATACGCGATATTTTTCAAAAAAATACAACACCGTGAAGGTTTGAGGATTTTGATGATTATAGAGACTGTAAATCAAATCCCCCAAAAACTCAGAATCATAAAAGTGGAATATTAAAAAGATCTAAAGATTTTAGCCTTAAGGGAATGTTCACCCCAAAATGAAAATTCAATTACTATTTACTCACCTGCATGTGGTTCTAAACTTTTATAAATGTATTTGGATGATGTGATGGTAGCCCCCGGACAATTACACCAGTGCGGTCACCACACACCAACTATAAGAGGAGTAAAGAGACAGTGATAGAGCCAACTCAGTAGATGGAGATGATTGGGAGGCCATGTTGGGTAAGGGCCAGTGGAGAGAATCTGGATGTAGGTTACACCCCTACTCTTTAAAAGAAGTGCTATGGGATTTTTAATGATCACAGAGAGTCAGGACCTTGGTTTTACGTCTCATCCGAAAGACGACGCTCATTGACAGTAAACTGTCCCCTTCACAACTAAAAAAAAAGCAGGATGAGGGAAGTAAATCATAACAGAATATTCATTTATTATGAACTATCCCTTTAAAGGGTCAAAAATACATTTAGGGCTACAGGAAAACTATATAAACATTAATACATTTTTTAAAATAACCCCATATTGGTTAAAAAAACTCAGGTCATCCAATATGTTAGTTATTTTACTTTATTTGTCCCTGTATGCTGCAAAATAAATTTTACAAGCAGGCTACAGTAAATAAACAAAAAGTTGAATATAGATGTAAATAAAACTAAAAAGACAATTATACACTAAAAAATGCCATTTTAAATTAATTTCTGATTTGCAAGGTTTTATAAGACACAATAAAAGGCATATTTTTGTTAAAGATTACTTATCATACTTGCGACTTGTAACATTAGTCAGTTTGTTAGAAGGGATATTTTTTTACTTATTATTATTATTAATTCATTAATTAATGGTGAATTTTTTTTCGTCTGTATGCAGTTATTCTCTGATATTATGGTTAAGTGTACTTCATTTGGTATTTATTTTATTTATTTATTATATTGTCGCTGGTTCGAACCCAGGCTGGGTCAGTTGGTATTTTCTGCGTGGAGTTTACATGTTCTGTGTAAAACATATGCTGGATGGGTTGGCAGTTCATTCCGCTGTGGTGACCCCAGATTAATAAAGGGACTAAGCCAAACAGAAAATGAATGAATGAATGAATGAATTTCAAACTAACTCCACATGGATGACCTAAGTTTTTTAACTATCCCTTTAAATATATTGCAATGCAGTTTAAAATCTAATTTAAAAAAGCATAAAAAACGGCACTACAGTAAATAAGCAGAAATAGGAGGAATAAGATGAATATAGATATAAACAAAACAAACAAAAAAAGACAATTATACATTAAGAAATGCAATTTAAAAAAAAAATTCTGGTTTTGCAAGGTTTGATGAGATACAGTAAATGCATATTATAATTAAAGTTTACACCGCATACTAACAACTTGTAACATTAGTCATTTTGTTGGAAGGAAGTTTTGTTTTTACTTAGGCTATTATTATTAATTAATTCATTCCTTTTTTTCCATCTGTATGCAGTTATTCTCTGATATTATTGTTAAGTGTTAATGTACTTCATTTGGTATTTATGCATTTTTATATTTATTTTTCTTGTTTTGTTAATTGGGTTAATGAATGAGGGGTTAGGGGATGTGATTAACAGTGGACAATAACTTACTGTTTACCTCACAATAATTAATTTTGTCACACAAAAGACTAATAAAAAGATTAAAAATAAAATAAAGATAACATCACAATGAATAACATTATAGTCATAATATAAAAAAAAATATCCTCCTGACAGCAAAATAATATACTTAATAACTGTAACAAAGCAGTTTTAATAAGATATACCATTTGTTTGGCTCAGTGGTTAGCACTGTTGCCTCACAGCAAGAAGGTCGCTGGTTTGAGTCTCGGCTGGGTCATTTGGCACTTCTGTGTGGAGTTTGCATGTTCTCCCCACATTGGTTTCTTTTGGGTGCTCCAATTTCCCCCCATGCAATATGGGTGAACTGAATAAACTGAATTGACTGTAGTGTATGAGTGTGAATGTTAGTGTATGGGTGTTTCTCAGTATTGGGTTGCAGCTGGAAGGGCATCCATTGCGTAAAACATATGCTGGAATAGTTGGAGGTTCATTCCGCTGTGGTGACCCCTGATGAATAAAGGAACTAAGCCAAAAGAAAATGAATGAATGGATATACCATTTATTTTGTACTTTCATTGCGCTGGAGTGCATTACAAGTATTACGGTAAGGAGAGTAAGGTCCGCCTTCAGAGATTCATTTACGTGAGAGAGATCGGCGCTAAGCTGAGCAGCATCGTCTTCATCATCACACACAGTACAAATGAAGAAGTATGGCTGCACACTACAAATATGTCCCCTTGTTTTAACCAGAGCCATGGTTAAAACACCCCACCGCGGACGGAGCACTTTTTCACCATGAGGATTCACTGCAAGGTTGTGGCCATCGCGGTGTGCTTCGGAGTTTTTCTACTTTTGTACTTTTTCGGGGGGAACGCTGCGGACGAGCCGCCGCTGAAAGAAGTTGCGAAAGAAAAACATTTTCCATCATTCGGTAATTTCGAGGACATTGTCCTTCTGAAAGGTGCGAAACAAACCAACGAGGAGCCACAGAAACCACCGAAACTAATCCGCAAAGAGCCCAAGTTGAGCAGCAGGAGAGCAGAGAATGTCATCGCGAAGACTCGGTAAGACATTCTTCAAGTGCAAAAATCATGATCAACAATATGTATGATCCAACAACAGAATGTGTGCAAGTGTGTTTTATTATGTCTGATATCAGTTTTTCATAATACATCACATAATGTAAAACAATGCATTTTTCTTCCTTCTCGAGTTAACATCCTTTCAACTGCTTTAAAATCAGTGCATGTGTTTGATCCACAAGGGAATTTATGACTTGGATTTGCATAAAATTTTCTGTGATTTGTACATAACAACACGTTTTATTAACAATTAATAAACCACTGATCTTTTTCTGGATGTCAACACAGCCAATCCAACCAGACATACTTGTCAAAAAGCCTGCTGTGACAAAGGACATTTTGGCAAGAATGTCTTGAGCTGATTGTGCAATCTTTAGATTTCTTAATACAGCAAGACAGATAATCGTGCATGGCATCATTTCTGCACTATCCACACCAGATTGTGATGCACTAACGTCTTAAATGTTGCCAGAGAGCAGTGTGCTTTGTGCATGCTACAAAGCCCAGTCCAAGAGCCCCCTGTGAGCATCTCATCCATGATTATCTCAATTGTATTTTCATTATGGCTTTATTAAAAAGGTCACCTTGAATGCAGTTGCCTCGTTCCCAAAGGGTCTCAATAGAGGACAAAATCAATGATTGGTTGTGAGTAAAAGCAAACAGTCCCTAGAGACCGGAAGATGGAGTGGTTTATTTATTAAGACCGTCCGCCCTTCTTGAAACATAATTAAAAAGAGTTTCTCCCACATTTAGCCTATAGGTGAACAGTATTTTAATGTTAAAATATAAGAACCCCAATGTTCAGTTCAATCCAAGTTGTGCTTTTCACAATAATTATCATACCAATGTTGCTTAAAAGGTGCATGTTAATACATTACAATCCATTCAGACAGATTTCAGACGTTGTGTATAGGGTGGACCGTATATATACATATACACACATGGTAACCTGCAGTTATACAATAATATAGATTAACCAAGGCTGACCGACATGACAAAAATCTCATATCATGATATAAGTCATCTCATATCCTGCCTGATACCAAAATATACATATATTCATCAGTTATTAGTTTAAATATATTAACCACATGGAAAGAACTATTTTTTCTTACAATGTAAAGTATATACAATACTCATATTTGTACTCATTCATATGTGTTTTTTTTTTACATTATTTATAACTAGGGCTGCACGATTTTGAAAAATGACATTGCAATGTTTTGTTTTTCTGCGATAAATATTGTGATTAGGTATGGGCCGCTTTAAGATTTTAACGGTATGATAACCTTCGATAAAATATCAGGGTTTTATGGTATTGTGAATATATTCGTTTTAATAGTCTGGGTAAAAACAAAAACTTTTTTCCGCTTTAAACACAATAGCTGTGTCCGAAATCACATACTTCCATTCTACATAGTATGCTAAAAATAGTATGCGAGCGGAGTAGAATGTCTGAATTCATAAAATTTGAAAATGCGAGAAGTACCTGGATGGCATGCTACATTCGACGCCATCACACTACATTCATACTATACAGAACATACTGTTTTATTGGTCAAGTTAGTAGTATGTTTAAATTCAAATGCATTAACTACTGAGTAGTAGGTGATTTTGGACACAGCCAATATATTTTATTTTGAGAAACATTAAAATATTTTGGAGCAGTAAACATGTCAGGCTAAATAATTCATTAGTTTCAAAAATACTGATTTCTTTACAATTTAAAATGGCATCTTTGGACACTTTTTCAGCTGGAGATACCATTGTCCAAAAAACTAAACAAAAAAAGCGTAAAAATAAATCATTTCCAAACCGCTTTATACCTTAAAAGCTGTTATTGTCCTATGCCTAATTGTGATAAGAAAGAAAATTTACAAGATGTCTCTATTTGGAAAGATTTCTGTATTTTATACTGATTGGAATGATTTATAGTTGAGTGTATCTGCAAAAATATTCAAAAATTCAGCAAAAAAACAAAAAAAAAAAACACACAGATGAAAACAATAGGACAAAGATAGAAAAAAATAACTAAGCAGTACATTATGGTTTTCAGTTGGAATTTAACAGTGTTAAAGTACAGAAATGCTTTAATCAAATGTAAAATAACATTGACCAGTTTTTATTCTATTGCATTAAAAAACTAAACACTATTAATCTTTATGAAAG